AAATCAAATTGCCTCCGTAGCATAGTAGTATTGCACTCGCTTCGTAAGCGAAATGCCGCGAGTTCGATCTTAGCCGGGGGCTTCCAAATGACCCTTAGCATCCCATATACTTTGTTTGGGACTAACATCCCATATTTATGGATTATGGTTCCATTTCTCTTTTCCCTCCAAAGGCCTAAGTGCTATATTCATGTTTTTTCTCTACACATGAAAAATTGTTTTTGATATGTAAAATTCTCCAGAAGAGTCAAGATCAAAAATTTTATTGTATGACATTTAAAAAGCTTATGTGTTATCACTCTTTATGACATTTAAAGTTTTGATTATATAATTGGGCCGTAGTAAGTACAATAATACGAAGTTATAAAACTTGATACAATTGTGAACAGTGAGAATAGAAAGTCCACGCGCTACGCGTGGCAATAAGCGCGTGTCATCTAAAATCATCGTCGTCGCCGTCTAACGATTTCGATCTGATATTAGAGAGTGTTCACTGTTCGGTGACTGGAGAAGGGAATCGCTTGGAAACGATGACGATCGAAAGAGCTCGAGTCCCGTTGAGCCGGTGGCAACAAGCGGCGGTAGCGATGGGATCTGCGGTCGGTGCGTTGGTAAATCCTCGTAGAGCGGATCTGATCGCTGCTCTCGGTGAAACCACTGGTAAACCAGCTTTTGAAATGGTTCTTGAGAGGATGAAGAAGAGTCCTGAAGGAAGAGTGAGTTCTTTTTTTGAAGTTTCTCTCTTCTCTTATTGTTCGAATGAAATGATTGATGCGAGTCGATGTGGTTTTGGTTGTGAATTGATCTATGAGTGATGTTCAATGGTTATACAGTACAGAGTAGTTTATGGTATTTCACTGTTGATGTTCAATGGATATATATGAACAAGAGAGATTTGCTTAATTGTTCGAATGAAATGATCGGTGTTTTGCTAAAGAGTGTGTATTAGCGAAGTAATGACTCGAATTGGTTCTGAATTGATCTATGAGTGAAGTTCAATGGATACGCAGTGCAGAGTAGTTTATAGTTTACAATGATTTCGTATTCTCTTGAATGAAAGTTCAAATCTTTCGTTAAATTTATCTGAGAGAATTTGATGTTCTCTTTGTTTGTTTTCCTTCTCTGGATTGGCTTTAGTACTTTGCTTGATGAATGGTTTGTGTTTGTTTACAAGTTGTTTGGTTACATACAATTGTGTTTGATTCTTTGTCTCTTAATTTTGGTGGTCTCTTTTATCTGCAGGCTATATTACTGGAGCGTCCTCGTGTAGTGTCAGAGCAAGTAGGTCATGCTTGGGATCTACCAGACAACACATTTGGAGCTGCGTATGCCAAATTCATGGGATCTAGAAACTTCTCCCCCGATGATCGTCCGCCAGTAAGATTCATGGAGACAGATGAATTGGCTTATGTAGCAACACGGGCTCGTGAAGTTCACGACTTATGGCACACTCTATTTGGACTCCCTACAAATCTTATAGGTGAGTCGGCYCTAAAAGTCATAGAATTTGAGCAAATGTATCTACCGATGTGCATGCTTTCTGTGATTGGAGGCACTGTGAGGTTCAACGAGACGCAAAGATCAATGTTCTTGAGACATTACCTTCCTTGGGCTGTTCGAGCGGGAAGACAATGCACAGACCTCATGTGTGTGTACTATGAGCGTCACTTTAGTGAAGATTTAGAGCAAGTCAGAAGAAAATGGGGGATAATCCCTGCTCCTCAACATCCTAAATGATGGTTTTTCAAATCTACTTTGTTTTCGCTGAATAGCGCTAGAACTGGTTACAGTGTAATTCAGTAAACAAGTTTTGATTTCGTTGTGTACTATCATTGATGGGTAATAACAGAGAAGTTTGAAGTTTTTGATTCAAATGATTGGAACATTTTCAGCAGAATATTACAGATAACAACAATTGAGATAAAGGTTGACAAGAAACCGACTTCTTATGATTAAAGGCTCACATCAAACAGTTTATAGTGAGAGAACGCAACAGAGACAATGGATACGCATTTGCAAATGCACACAAATGCATTTTATTTTTTTTACTTGCCACCAGTGAAGAGATAATCCAGAGATGATCCACCTCCAGGAGCTGCATGAACTTTGGTCGAAGGACGGTCCTGCAGAGAGAGAGAGCGAGCATTACAATGATATTTTAGAAAGAGAAGGAGCGTTTCTATTACGAGTAATACTATACGAGTAATAAACACGAAAACAAAAACATACAGTGAGGAAGTTGCCGGTGTTCTGTCCTTCAGCTCGGGCATAGTTGTTAACTGGAGTTTTGATACCAGCAGGAATCTGCTTGTTGAGCTCTGCTGGCTCAACAGTAGTAGTAGCAGTTGTGTGTGCGGTTGCAGTCACAGGCGGTGCTACAGCTGGTGCAGCAGTAGCGTTGTTCGGCTCAGTAGGAGAAGGACGAGGAGCTGGAGCTTGCTTAGGAGCAGGAGCATCACCACCAAAGAGATAATCCAGTGAGCTTTGACCACCACCACAACTGTTTCCACGACCCATGGTATAAACTGAAGGACTTTTGAACCCTATCAACAAAAGCAAAACCCGGTCTTAGAACCGTTATCATTCGAATAGATTCGGAGCTGTAACAAGTCCCAGATACAACTTAATCCTGCTTCTAGCATCAATGCATCATAATTTCTTTATATTCATAACTAGAGATTACAGAATTAAAGAGTTGTAGCAAGTCCTGATACTATTCTAGTCCTAGAAAACATACATTCTTTCTTTGTTTCCTATATTTGGAAAGCTACACACAACAAAACCACAAATGCTAATGCAAAATCCACTAAATCCACAACTCATAGCCAATTTTTTCAAAAGGAGAACAAATCGGAACAAAGAGTGAAATTTTACAATCAGATCTAAAACAAGCGAAATCGAATCACCATTCTTAAACTCTTGAATCTACGAAATCGATAGAGACCCAAATCTCTTAAAAATTAAGGCTAAAAAAAAACCATAATCGAGGGATCAAAAACAGAGGAATCTACGATCTAAACTCGCCTTAACACACCATAGAAACGAAGAAAATTAAACAGAGAACGCGATCTGGAGAATTTTAGGGTATGCAGAAACATACCTTTAGCGAAATTCGCGATCAGATCT